ACTCTATTTGTAATGAATTCTATAAAATTTGTTTAATTAGTTCATTAGTACGGTGCTTAAGCCTTTTTTTTGGGTTTTTTTTAAAGGGTTTATATTGGATTTTATTTAATTAGTTGATTGAGTAACGTGGCATAATAAATAATATTAAGAAGCGTGGTTGTGGTTTATTTTACATTTAACAAGAGAATTATTCTTACTTCATACTCGCACCGGGTTTGAACTTTGAATCTAAAAAAAAACTCCCTGAATACAAAAAAAGAAATTAAAATAAAAAAATGAACCTCCCTGAATAGAACGTTGTTGGGGAAATGCAGTAGCCACATTTTGAATGAATTAGACTGTTCAGTAAAATGAGTGAAACTGAAAGGATTCCATCCTTTTAATGCATTTAGTGCGCGCCCATTTAAACTATATCTTTTATTTTTGGTACGTAATTTAACCTAGATCTATCTGTGCTTATGTGATGCTTTATAAAATTCATAGAAATCTTAGATTTAAAAAAAATAAGATTTTGAACATTTTTTTTATGAATTTTACAAGAAAAGGAGCGAATATGAATGGCTAATATAGTCCATCTTTAATTTATTTCTACTTTATAAAAACTCATTTATTCTCTCCTTTTTAAGTAAATTGATTATTAAATTAATAATTTTTAAGTACTTACAATTGTTAATTTTTTTAATTATTATTATTATTATTATTGTTGTTGTAATCAAATCTTATAGATTTAACTAATCCTTATAAATATATTTTTTATGGTATAAAATAATACATTTTGATATTATTTTTTGTTATGTATACAAATTTAAAGGTGATATTTTGGAGAGTTCACACTGCGTGCAACTAAATAAAAAGGTTCCACAACATTGTTATAAAAAAAATTCACCGTTGTCTATTCATTAATCTTTAATGTATAACTGAAATATTGTGCAAAGTTATTAGGGAGTCATTTATTTGGGTTTTTTATAAAATAATTTTATGGTTAAAAAAGATGCTTTAAAAAGTATACAATAATTAAATAATTCTTTTAAGAAAATAAAACCTTAATAAAGTGTTTTAGTATTTTCCTTAAAAAAATAGCTTCTGAAAAAAATCACGTCGTAAAATAATTAAAAATAAAACTGAAACAGGCACATCCTAGATTGTGATTGAAGGATTATTCTTAGTTTATAGGCAAAATATTCTGTAAATGTATGTATATATTAATAAGAAATAGTTTTCTCATTTTACACAAGAAAATTTTCTCATGCTACACTCATCATACATGAGTGGGTCTCATATTAACTTTTTTGTCTTATCACCTTTTTGTGAACCACACTCATATATAGTGAGTGTAGTATGAGACAATTTTTTCATGTAAAATAAAAAAATAAAAAAATAAATAAAAAAATTAATTCCGATACATTAATGAGCAGACAAGTTTCTTCATATTAATGATAACAAGTAACTTAAAGACAATGGTTATGAAAAATTTAGTGTATTAAATGTTTTTAACTATTTGAAAATTAAGAATACTTTTCTTTTAGTAGATTAAAGGGGCCAAACAAAGAAAAAATTACAAGGTTGAAATATTAGTTATATCTAAATTTACAATGAGTTCTAATGCGGATTTAGTGGTGGGGTGAGGGAGGGGTTAGTGGGGGCATTCGTGCCCCTTCAAATTTATATAAATCTATAAAAGTGAGCATCATTTCTAATTTTTTTAATCATATATCTAATACTCCCCTTTAAAATCTACCTAAATCTTTAGTTGTAAGAACCATTTCTATTCTTTTATCGTATAAATAATTAAAACTTCAAAAAAAAAAAAAAAAAAAATCTCTCGCTCCACCATCAACAAAAAGATCCTAGAGTATGTCTCAAATTCTAGGTCTTCCTCAAATGCATAGGATGTCATTGAACGCTGCAGTCATTCCTTTGGTTGATGGCTAAGGCTGAGTCACTTTCTCTTTGAATGTTCATATTCCAGCAATCCAGCTGGCCACACTTCTAAGCCTTTCCAAATGGCCTAGAATTCAGTAATAATTGACTGACTTGCATATTTGTGACTAGATAATTTTGTATTGTTAGTTCTTTGATGACTAATGCATACAAATTTTATAGTATTTGCTGTATAATAGGTATAAATATTAGATAGAATAATGCAAAATGCATAATAATATTCTTTATGTTATGTATTATGTTACGTGCAATGAAGCTGAAAAAATAAAGAGGCAGTTGTTATTGACCTTTCCTCTCTGTCTTATGAACAGAATATTGTACTCTGATTTATAGGTAACAAGAAATCAAAAAAATTTACAGCCGTTTGAATAATTTTTTGTCCAGTATTTTATATCATTTTAAAATTTAAATATAATATAATTTGTTTGCTATATTATACCTTATTATTTAACAAATTAAGGGCATGGCTAAGTTAAACGTGTCATGTCATCTTTTAATCTTGTAAATCAACTTTCAAAGTTACTATTGCTAAACTTAAATAAATTGAGAAATAAAAAAAATTGGGATGTCAAATTTAAGCAATGAAATTAATAAATTTTATTTATAAGGAGCTAAATAAAATGGATTTTATCTTTCAAGAACAAAATTATAATTATTTTATAATCAATTCAATTGTTTAAAGGGTTAATTACGTCATTTCCTGGAAATTGTCAAATGAGTTGGATAAATAACTAATTAGTTTGTGCTTAACAAAATGTAAATAAATGATTAGTTCAATTAAACAATTAGTTAATTTAGTTTGTGTACCCAGACCCAATTTGGTCCTCCCTTTTTATATTTTTAAGCAAAACTACATTCTTTGCAGTTCAAAAAAATGGAAAACTGTAAAAAGTTAGGGATATATTCTTTTTATGTTGTAGAAAAAAAAAATTATTTCATGTTGTAGAAATAAAAGTATAATTGAGACCTACAGGTAAGAGGAGAGAGAAAAAAAAGTGGTGGGACTCAACCTCTTTTTATGTGTGTAGAAAAATTATTTATCTCATGTATAATGAGATAAACATAACCCAAAAAGTTAATGATTTGAACCAATCCCACACGGCATATAAGGCTTAATCCACAAATAGTCCAAAAAATTTAATTACTAAAATTTCAAAGTCAAGGAAATGTGACCATCCCACATATATAATATCTCGCAGGTGGGGGTGTTCATGGTCTGAATTGTATCATTTTTGTAAGCAAAAATCATCTGATCCGATCCTTTCGATTTGATTATGTAATCATTCATTTGGTTTAATTTTTTTTTTAAATCCGATACGATCCAATCCAATTTTTCTCGGTTTGGATTAGATCAATTTTCGGTTTTTTGAAAATCCTAAAATTTGTTTCATGATTATTGTGCAAATAACATCTTTTGTATTTATTGACTTTGTAAACTTTTTTTTTTTTGAAATACAAAAACATCATTAAATAGTTTTTTTTTTTTTTGGGCAATGAGATATGAAACTCTACACGGATGAAATTTTGTTGATGAGATATGACTAGAATTTTTTCTTGGATTTAGTTGATGGATTAATGGATCTTGGGTTTAGAAATTTTTGGGCTATGATTAGGGAAAGACCCAAGTAGGTAGAGGGGAATTAATATATTGGATCGATTTTCATCAACCAATCCGAAAACCGATCCAATCCAATTAAAATTTGCGATTTTTTTTTGGTTTTCGATTTTTTGGTTTCCAGTTTATTCGGTTATCGGTTTTTCGATTCGGTCACCACGGTAAATCGATTTGAATCGGTTGATGAACACCTCTACTTGCAGGTATTGATATACGACATCATGAACTCATTTTTTTTTTATGGAAACACGACATCAACAGCTAAGGACTCTACAACCACCCTAATAACCAGTGTTTTAAAACATAGCTCGGTCAAGGTATTGAGTCACTTGGTTAGTGATTCAACCGGTGGATCACAGATTCAATAACATAAATTAAATTTATAAAATAATATATAATAAATATTAAATTATAAACATTATTTCCAACAAATAAAAGTGGTCCAATGACAAGCCTTCTTATCCTCAAATACGGGAGCTCAAGTTCGAATCCTCAAAACCGAAGTAAGCACCCGGTTACCGAAACATAGCCTACAAATAGATATTCCGCATACAAAATAGTCTACAAGAGCCATTTTTGTGCATCAATAAGGTTAAACAGAGGCTTGATGTCAGATATGATCACCTATTCCATTCTAACTAAAATTTATAACTTATATACTGATTTGAGTATCGAAATACTTTAAAGATACCTCCGCCAATTGTCCCGTCAAATCAAGACGGAGCATTCCACAGAATCATCATCTCACAACATCCCTTCTAGTTGAGGCCAACCTCAACCGTGTGCGATCTAACTTAATTTCTATTGGACCAATCAATCAGTAATGGGTACTAGGGCATAGTAAAATTCTTTTGACATCATGAAGTGGAAACGGTGATGAATAAGCCCCATCCTTTATTCTGCCTTTTGATAAGATTAATGTTAAGATCTTACGATTTAGGTTGCTCAGAGGAAAGGATTGCCATTATTTTTGTTTAAAATTTTCATCATTCTCAGAGAAAACTCCCTATTCCAAAATACTAGTAGTGGTCAATGAGCAAGTAGGCAATTCGGAGAATGAATCAAGTATATTTATTCTTGATTATGGATCTAGCCTGATTAATATTTAAAAAATAAAAGATCTAACCTAAGCTAATTTAAACCTTAAGGTCTTTTAGTATTATAAAAAAATAATTAAAATAGTATTATTTTATTAAATAATTATTCTAGCTAAAGATATTTTTGTTGATGTTATTATAGAAAAATCTTCATTTTCGGTCAAGTAATTGGTTATTACCTCCATGTTCCAACTTAAAAGGGAATATTAGGGATGAGAATTAAGAATAAAAATAAAATAATATTTGAATTATATACACAAATTCGGTTTCTATCATCTTGTCTGTTAATTATTTATGCATCTATACGTATGTCTCTTCAAGGAATTTCCCACTTGAATGTCAAAAAGATATATGATTTATCCCAAAAAAAGGAGGCTATGAAAGCACAAGACATAATATAAAAGAGGAAACGATAGTAAAGATGAAGTAGAACCAATGTGAGTACAACAACGTAACTGTATAAACAGAAGCAAGCCTTTTTGTCGGCCAGGTTGGTTTGTCAGGAAACCACCTAAGCATTATCTTTCTTGTATTATACTTAACAGAGACAATTCCCAACTTGTTGCAGCTTTCCTTCAACAAAATGCACAGACAACACTCCACTCGGTAGTTCATGAAAAAGAGTATAAAACTTTTTAAGAATTTACTTAGAAGATAGGAGGTGATGATCGAGAGTGGCAGCTGCTAATACTGTACCCTCTCCTCGTTGAAATTCAGGCTCTCAATACCTCGGAGAGTTGACTCAAAATTCTTTACGTTTGATGTGTTTCTGCCAGAGGATGAAGTGATAGGTGAGCTTCTTTGAGCACCGGAGACTTTACGGAGTGCTCCTGGGTTCGCATCCACTGTGAGAGGACGAGAGGGCTCAGCCTCACTGCCAACAACTGCATCACGGTTGCTGGAGACAGCACCTCGCCTTGTAGATCCACTTGACCGTAAGAAATTAGAGCTAGACAACTGCATAAACCATACACAAAATTTTAAATAAACATCATGAAAACTAACTGCCATACAGATAGATCAGTGTAACTGTAACCAGCAGGCAATTTCAAATATGATAACAATCATGACCTAATCTGATAATGCAATCACTTCTAGGATACCATTAACCCACAATACACACGGGCTATAATCATTTTCTTTTGCAAGAAAACAAGAACTACAGGGGTATTTTCAAAGCACAAAACTCTTTAACGAAGCAGGTCTGAAGAAGCGAAGTCCAAAGAATGATATATAACTTGTCTAAAAGAAAGCTGACTTCTGAAGAATATTTATATTAATTGCTTAGCTTATGCTTCAGTTGTGCATATAAACATACAAATGATACAGTCAAAACTATATAATTCCACTAATGACCGATAGAAAAGAAGCAACAAAGCATAGCTTCATAATTTCTTTTTTGCTTTGGATAAATGAAAAATAATGATGATTTTTTTCCTTTTAAATTGATCCATATTCCAAATAAGCACTTATTTTCTTAAACAAAAAATAATGAGGAAAAATGAAAGCCGAACATTAATGCATAAATACAACATCATGCTTCAACTTTATGCTCAGCTCACATGCAAAAGCTGTCCCATAAATATACTCACCTTAACTTCTTTAGATCCAGTAGAGTCACTTGGAACTGGGGCTTTTTGTCTCGATAAGATTCCATCATTTGCAATAGGTCCAGAGTGTCTTCTACGAGTAGGATCTGAAGAAGACCAACCAGTATGCCTACCGTCTTCCCCACCTACACAGAAATTGCCAGATTAAAAACCAAAAGCACAAGAGAAACACACCATAAAAACATGAAAGGCTGAGATAAATGAAAAAATAAATAAATAAATCTAGAATAACTAACAGATTGATGAGCTAAGAAAGTATGAAATGAAACCACACTATTACTAAAATAATAGATCAGGGTCATAAAAGTAACTGGAAGGAAAATTATACCTGTCTGTCTATCCGCATCAACAGCTGGCGGTATGCCAGAACTTGGTCCAGCAGCAGGACCCTGCAAATGTTACTTTCAGTAAGATAATCTAATCTCAACAATCAAACATCAAATGCCACCAGATAGCACACCACCACTTACAATGGCACGTGCAAAAGGAGTTTGAGATTGCTGATATTTCAAAATGGTCCAATCAAAGACATAATCAAACTGAAATCCTGGAGCAAGAACACCAGCCAAAACACAGAAATGACATATTAAAACACAACCATCTAGTTATCAAAGAAAGTAGTACATCCCCAAGTGAAATGTAAATAGGAAAACAGAAAGGCTTAAACCTTCACGAATGAAAAGGTCACGGAAAAGCCTTTTCAAATAAGCATAATCTGGTTTATCATCAAACCGTAGTGACCGACAGTAATGGAAGTATGAAGCAAATTCTGAGGGGTAGCCACGACACAGAGACTAACAAAGAAGCAAGACACATTTTGTTACGATAAAAAGGGGAAAAAATACGTATGTACCAAAACACTATTTTATCACACAGTTTTACCTCAATAGAAGTAGAAACTTTCTTCTCACTGATTTTCTCATACTTCTGCTTCTTAGTACCTGCTTTCAATCCCTGCCACGGAAGACTGCACAAATAACAAGTAAATCATTAAAATTAAAAATAGGTGATAAAGAAAGATAAAATAATACAGGAGCAAAGATAATTACCTTCCTCTCAAAAAATACATTAGAACATATCCAAGTGATTCTAAGTCGTCCCTACGGCTTTGTTCTAATAAAGCATGAAAGGACATTCCCAAAGTTCATAATCAATTGCCAACAATAAATACAAAGGTAAGGGAATTTGATGAAGAGATGCATTGAAAGCATACCAATTCCAAGATGAGTGTTCATACTAGCATATCTAGCAGTTCCTGTCAAATTCTTGTTCTCTCTGAAAAGGATAACAAGCAAGCCAAATTCAAAGAAACCCCTTAAGTAAATTGATTATTTGCTGCCACAATAACCGAATGCTATTTTAAAATAATAACTTGAAAGTTATAGCAAAGTGGTTCATAATTCATATAAATAATAAAGTAAAACAAAGAGATTATGTAAGGAACAACAGGAGGTTATGCACTGATATATATATATATATATATATATATATATATATATATATATATATATCGAACAATTGGAAAATAAAAGGATTTAAATTTGATTGCTTGACTGTGTAAACTCTATATTGTTGGTACTTCACTTGCAACTATCAGTTTTCATATTACTTACAATATAGCACTTACCAGTCAGCTTGTTCAGTTAATCATAAAACTAGAACAGTCTGTGCATTAAAATCTCCCAGTAGTTCCATACAATGCATCCGCAATTGGTTGTTAATATATTTATCAATAATACTCTAAAACTCAAAGCTCCAGTGCAAGATAAATTAATTTCACATCTTTCAACAATATGAATAAGAAATTCACAGCTGCATAAGGTAATAAACCAGAGGCACCACCTACTTCCCCCACCACGCACTTTTTGTGTTGTCCAATATTAAAGCTACTATTCTAGTACTCTTTTATTAGAGAACACTCCACTAAATAGTCAGTGTCACCCAAATAACTAACAATACTGTAACATTTTCAGTTATTGGATTAGCCACAATCAATTGATTATAATCCTAATTCATAAAAGTTAAAACTTGTTTGAACTGTGCAACCATGGCATACAAAATCAAAAAAACTAAAAATGACAAAAAGGTACCGGTAAGGAATATGCTGATGGGTAGAGGTGTCCCTGTATTTCTTGGCAAGACCAAAGTCAATGGCATAAACCTACAAAAAAAGTAAATTCAAAAAGGATACATCCAAGAGATGACAGAAAGGGATAAAAAGGGAATTGAAAAAGCAAGTATTTAACTATACTTGATTTGCACGCCTCCCCAAACCCATGAGGAAGTTGTCTGGCTTGATGTCCCTATGTAAAAATGATTTTGAATGAACATATTCAACTCGGTTTATCTGGAAACAGTTCAAGATTGCCCCATTGAAAAAAATAAAATAAAATTAGTGAATGTTAATTAGAAAAGTATTTACGAAATACAGGAAATCCTACCATCTGATCAGCAAGCATGAGAACAGTTTTGAGGGACAATTTCCGACTACAGAAATTGAATAAATCCTCTAAACTAGGGCCCAATAAATCCATCACAAGGACATTGTATTCTCCTTCAACGCCAAACCATCTCACATTTGGGATCCCAGCTGCCAAATAAAGGTAGCCAACCAAAAACATTTATGCTGATTAATATGAATTCTATGGTAAGCAAAGAGAATGGAAAGATAAAATTCAGTTAAGACAGAAGATTACTTCCTCCTTGCAGTATTTTATACAACTTTGATTCATACAACAATTGAGGGTGCTTAGTTTTGACACTTTCCTGAATCAAAAAGCAAAGAGAAAGAGGTAAATATTTAATTAAACACATCCCTAATCCTCAACAGTCAACATAGTTCTTAGAAAAGTCAACAATAAAGAGGTAAATATCAATGACTGAGGATAATCCGCAGTGGATTCATGGCCAAACACCCCTTGAAGTATTGGAACCGAAATTAATCAAATAAAATAAAATAAAATTCATGGCACAAGGGATGAATTAGACACGAACGAACAGCCTTAGGCACGCCTCTGACTACATTAACTCCTCTACAAAAGTTAAAACAAAAATGCAATCGTTCTACAGCCTCTACCACACATTCCATGAAGCACACCTTCGTTACTTCAATTTTACACATTCATTAAAATTGAACAATACGATACTACATAGTACATATAACCATTTCCAATTCCCCAACAAAAGATGATTAACAATAAAATCACCCCTTAGTGAGCTAGAATAACTTTTACCCACTCATGCAAATTGAGTTTCTGATTTGCAAATAGGAAAAGTAGAGGTCAACAATTTCCAAATTAGAGCAATTCATAGTACTCACGAGCTTAATTGCAACCTCTTCATTTGTCTGAATATTAGTACCTGAAAAAAAAATCAAAATTAAAAAAAAAAAAAAATCAAAAGTAAATAAGCATTACATAAAAGCGATTCAACAGAAAAAATAAAAAACATAAATTAAAAGTGGAACAGAGCAGACCGAGATAGATCTCGCCGAAGGATCCGCTACCAATCTTACGGCCAAGACGGAACTTGTTCCCAACCCGAGCTTCCATTCGATGAGACCAAAACCCTACGATTGGCGAATTAAACCCTAACGATGAAAATTGAAAATGGAAGGAGTTGGAAGTAGCAGAGAAAAGGTTGGGGAGAAAATTGGAAAAAATACTTTCTCTCTCTAAAAGCAAGGGAGAATGAGGAGAGGGAGAGAGAGAGAGAGGAGGGATCGTCGTGATGCCTCTCCTCTCCTCGCGCATTCATCCAAACGGATTTTTTATCTCTTTTTCACGACCCAGCAAGCAGCGACTACGTTAAACGACGTTGCTTCGATTTTGAGTTCTCCTTTTTATATTTTTTTATTTTTTTATTTTTGGAATATTTCTCATCCTCCCCATGTTAATCAACCGATTCAAATCATCTTGACTGAACCGAAAAATCGATAACTAGATCAATCAAAAATAGAAAAGTTAAAAACTGAAAAAAAAAACCCGTATTTTTAATTGGATTGAATTGGTTATTAGTTTGATTGATAAAAATTGATCCAATATATTATATATTTATAATTTTTGAAAAATAATGACTTGGAATCTTAGATGTTATTGATGGCTTTTTCACCCTTTTGCCCCTTATTAATTAATTAATAACTATTTTGCCCTGATTCGAAACTATTTATCAATCTGCCCCTCTTTAATCGACTACCTTACATTTTTAATCGACTAAATGGCCAAAACAGGCAAAAATGATTGTTGGGAAATTTAGTCGACTAAATCTACCTATTTAGTCGACTAAATCTCCCAACAGACAACAAAGGAAAACAAGTCAGTATGATTTTTTAATCGATTAAGTAGGGAGATTTAGTCGATTAAATCTCCCAACAACCATTTAGTCGATTAAAAATGCAAGGTAGTCGATTAAAGAGGGGCAGATTGGTAGATAGTTTCAAATCAGGGGCAAAATGGTTATTAATTAATTAATGAGGGGTAAAATGGTCAAATAGCCTGTTATTGTTAGCAAACTATCTTGTTATATTTTTTATTGTCTATTAATCTATTTTAACTATTCATGAATTTAACATTTGTTTTAGTTTGAAGACTTGGATTTTTCAGTGATTTATAACTTTGAATGACTTTATTTTGATATAACTAGTGATTTATATGGTTGAAATTTTAGACTTCTGGAAAAAATTGAAGACCGATTCAATTCAAATTGAATTGAATTTGATCGAATTTTAAAAAAATCCAGACCGAATAGATGATTAAATAATCAAACTAAAGGGATTGAATCAGAGTATTTTTGCATCAAAATCAATCCAATTCAGACTGCAAATACCCCTGCAATTTATCAATCATTAAGTTTATGGTAAAAAATTCTTTGGTTTTTTTTTAACAACAAAACTGTAAGTATTTAATTATAGAGTAAAACCCCTCTTGGTTCCTAATAAAAAATACAAATCTCATTTTAGCCTCTTACAAAAAAATGAGTTGCTTTGAATTTTTTAGGATCCTCAAGATTAATTTTTATTTTTTTATAAGATATTAAAGTGAAGATCATAATTTTTGTTAAAGATTTAATGGTGTGTTTGGTACAAGAGAAAAATTTTTTGTGTTCGGGAATCATGATTTCCAGTAATATAGAAAGAAATTCAATTTACCGGGAATGATATAAAAAAGTTGTTTCGTAGACGTAAATATTACCGGGAATATTTAATAATTTTACTGAGTATATGTTTGGTTGTTAGTAAAATATTGCCGGTAATATATGATGATTTTACAAAACTAACCTTAACTTTTCAAAACATATTCTTCAACGAGTATTGATGTGTGTTGGGGGTATTATTGTCTCAAAAATATGTTGATCTGTTTTTTCTTCCCCCATAATCATAAAAATCACCTAATTTTTGGTAATCCCAAGAGTAACTTTGTTGAGTTTAGTATGCTCTTTTCACTTAAGCCCAATAGCTTTAGTGAGAGTGAGCCCAAAGTCCAATTTTAACCCATGAAGCTTAGGGTTAGTTTTGGATTTAGCAGAGTATATAAACTCTCTTTTTTCTTCTAGTGCCTCCGAGGGTTACTGACATCAGACACACAACCAAAGAGGCAGATGTTCATAATCTGAACGGTTGCCCACACGATCCCCTGATCCCCTTGAGTCATAGCCTGGAAAATCAAACGTAGAGCGGAATTGCAACCGTTCGTGGCGCGTTGCTGCAAGATCGTGAGGCTTGAAAAGGAGAACTGAAGGTGAGAAATTGTCACGCTCACTTCTTCACCCAGGTAATCAAAACGGTGTCTTTAATCTTCATTGCATCGATACGATGCGCTTCGCGTTTCTGATGATATACTTTCAAACTTCTCTTTGTAAAATGCTTTACCGGTAAACCTTGGATATCCGGGAATTGATTTTTAATACTTCTACCAAACAACCAAACATGGTAATTGACGATTACCAAAGAAAATTTACCAGTAATCTTTGTCACACCCTTGTACCAAACACACTCTAAAAGAGACTTAGGACATAGTTATTCTAATGTCAAAAATTTCTAAGTCAAAAGCAGAGGGTGATACGGATTTTTAAGTGGAAGATATTTAATCTATTGTTGTAGATGCCAGATAAGGATGACCGCAGTTTTATAACCAAAATAATTCTGTCAGGTCATAGATAAAAAAACAAAATAGTCTACGATAATTTGTTAACGTTGTTAAAATTGAGATCTTAAGTAAAATAAAAAAAAATAAAAAAAAATTAAAAAATTGTAAAACGTAAAATCGTAACGTAAAAAAATCGTAAAAATGTAGAAGCGTTTGAAATATTATTAAAATTATTTTGATGAAAAAAAATCGTAAAAACATAAAATTATAATGATAAATCAAGATTTTAACAACATCACATACTTACAAAGCAGCAAAAAAATATTTTGTGAGAGTTACACTTTGAGTTGAGGGTGATACGGATTTTTAAGTGGAAGATATTTAATCTATTGTTGTAGATGCCAGATAAGGATGACCGCAGTTTTATAACCAAAATAATTCTGTCAGGTCATAGATAAAAAAACAAAATAGTCTACGATAATTTGTTAACGTTGTTAAAATTGAGATCTTAAGTAAAATAAAAAAAAATAAAAAAAAATTAAAAAATTGTAAAACGTAAAATCGTAACGTAAAAAAATCGTAAAAATGTAGAAGCGTTTGAAATATTATTAAAATTATTTTGATGAAAAAAAATCGTAAAAACATAAAATTATAATGATAAATCAAGATTTTAACAACATCACATACTTACAAAGCAGCAAAAAAATATTTTGTGAGAGTTACACTTTGAGTTGAGTTCACTGTTTTTCCACTGTTTTTCCACGATGAGTTCTTTCAGTTGCTTGCACTCAATTTAATACTTTTGGTTTTCTTTTTTATTTTGGAGTCATCGATAATTTATTGGGTAATACAATACTCATGTAACAGAAAAATAGCATCACTTTCTTGCGGACACATTAATAGGTGGGTCCCAAAAAAAAAAATTCTCGCATCTTATTTTCTCTTCTCTCTCCAGATTTTTTCTCTCTGCTGATATTTTCTTTTTGCAGGAAATGACACTGTTTTCTTGTTAGATGAGAATAACTTACCCTAATTGGATTTTATTTCCACGTGATACAAGATAAATTCTTTCTCCTATTCTCATTTTGATTACCATGTTCTTTTTGTTTTTTTTTAATAAATCACACCATTTATTCTTTTCTTTTTTTGGTACATAATCACACCATTTATTCTATGTATAGGAAACAAGGGTTCTCTTATGTGAGATAAGAGAAATAAAGCCTCCCCAAAAAAGACAGAAAATGTAACACTACTAAGCCGCTTTCACATCTTCAACATCACTTGAATTATAACCATTTGACCTGTGAGAATTACACTTTGAACATTTAGAACTTACTAACTTGTTGAGCTCTTCTACTTAAATATGTTACATACAACGGCTCCCATGCTTTTTTCCTTAACCAAAGGACTTTCATTCTCCCCCCTTCAAGCAAACGGGTGTAAAGAATTAAATGAGGCTAGAGCAAACAATAAAAAAACCCGCAAATCCTAAAAGGATTGAAAACTAATAAATTATTATTATGTAACGGTCATGAAGGGGACAAAACCCCCAGTGAAGATTGCTTCTTCTGCATCTTCCCTTTAAAATGTCTGATCTTTGCTTCCACTCTTGCTGTGAATCCAATCTTTGTTTCCTGTCTTGCTTTAGACCGCTCCCTCGTCCACATGTGTTGATCTTCAATGTCCTTCTTGTAGTACTTGATTTCTTGAATAATGTGATGATCCATTGGATTAAAACATCTTTGGAAGGATATGTGGGCTAGATAAGGAAGATTGCATGTAACTGTTACTAAAAGGGTTGCTGTCCAATAAATAGGAGCAGGAGCAAGAACTTCAACCAATATTTGGTAGGCAGTCTTGGAATATTGTGGAGAAAGCATGCCATATACCAAGAGAAAGAAGTACCAAGTGGCTATGCTGCCCCACACAAAGAGATGTTGAATCCACGTAAAATGACTCATTGTCAGTGCAATCTGGCAATTGACAGCCCAGATGATGCAAGTGAACATTGTGGTACCAACAGCAGCCATGTCCGCAATCTGGCCATCCAATCGGAATGCTTGGTCGTAGAAGATGATGATGACAAGGAAGAAAATGATGAGGGAGGAATAGAGACCATTTCCCATCCATCCCAATATTCTATACCAGTCAAAGAACAAGTTTTTGGGTCCTTGCTGATACAATGCAGGAAACTGCAAAGATCAACAGCACATCAAAGGTTAGATTATCCCAACATTGGATGAAAATATGAAATTCATTTAAGGCACTTCAAGAGAACATACCTGTAAGCAAACTTCTGATGGAACATCTTGTTCAAAAACTCCAAGTGAAATGACAGGCAATGATGTAAGAACAACATTGAACAGTATCATGTACCAGTCATCATAAACCGATTGACCAGAGAAGCCCGCAAAGGCCTCAAAATAGAATATGGTGAGGCCAAATGCTATATTTTTGTAGAAGAAATAACATATCTGGCATGCATAACGGATCAGTTTAGAGGGGAAATGTAGGAACCAATTCATTATTGAAAGATACAGAATGCTAAAATGTTATATGAATTTCTATATATGAACTGGATGCACAGCACACAAGATATTGAAGACATCCAACATCTAGAATAATGATCAAGATTCAAGATGATATATCAATTACCATTTGCGCAATTCTCTTGTAACACCAGTGTCCGTGGACCACC